TTGTCATTGTCACATATTATGTACTGCACAAAACTCTACATGTTACACTATTAAATTAGTAGTAGTATATCATTTTATGATAGAATCAAGCAAGTAATGTATTTGCACCACACTCTTAGGATGACTGCCTTATCTCTGGGCAGGAGGACATTTTTTGGCTCTATTATAATCCATGGGTCCATTGTAGCATCAGTGGTCTGTGTTGGCAGACACATTGCTATGAGGCCCATGACCATACATTCATAATGTGCAGCCACCTCCACAGCTCTTTTTGAAACTTCTTTTTTCTCAGTGGTCAAGCAAATACAGGACCTCATGCATTCTAGGCAAGAACTCTACCACTGAGCTAGGCCTGCAGCAAAGTAAAACTGAAACTTTATACCCATTAAACAATAACTCCCCATTCTCTTCTCCCTACCTCTCTGGAAGTTGCCATCCTCCCTCCCTTTTGTAAATTATGATGGTGATGGTACTCATGGCAATATGTATAGTAGGCTAGTACTCTATGACTCTGCTCCTTCCTCAGCTACAACCAAGCCTTCTGTCCTTAAGAATTTTCATATCATAAGTACCTTATATTAGTGGACTAGTGGACTCTCCTTGGATTGGTGGAATAGAAGGTACAGCCAGGGTCGCTACTCACTAATGACTCACACCTCACCCCCATCCCATGGTAGACCCTTCCTTAACTCTGTGTCCAGACAGGCTAAGCACAAGCACGTGGGCTCCTCCCAGGGACACAGGGCTGTGGGTGCCATCTCAAATGAGGGAATTTTGGAAACTAGACCTCTTCCCACCTTAGTTGGCTTTCACTGCTATCCTCCTCCACCACTGGTCCACCTGCTGTTCACTGGGAGGTGAAGAAAACAAGCACCCAGCCTGATAGGTGCAAGCTGGAGCAGATCCAGACTATGGTGATGCCAGGAGGCAAAATGGAGGATGCAGAGGAAGGCACTTGTGTCCATACCTTCTGTGCACAGTTCATAAGACTGGAAATGTGAAAGAGCAGGCACAGTGCTTTAGGGAACAGTGTGCTGAGTTCTATTCTGAATGCTGATTTCAAACCTCAAAGGCACTTGAAAAATTGTTGATCTATTCCCAGACTTTTCTCAGGTTTTGGTTCCAGTTGAGACTCTCCTAGTAGAGCCATCCATGCCTCTTCTGTCTGACATGCCAGCACTCCCTTTTCACTTCTCTGCCTCTTCTTCTTTGCACTCATAAGTACTTTGCTTGCTAAATGACCAACTCTTATTGTCACCACTCAAATGCAAGCCACCTGAAGGCAAGTGCTGTGTTTTGCTCACTCTTGCAGTTCCTGGAACAATATTCGCTCACAGAGGGATCACTGACTCAGGCGCAGTAGCCAATGCTGAGGGCCTCTGAGAATCTTGAGGGACACAACGTTTCTATTTTGGTTTCTCATTACAAGTAGTTACTGTGCAATAATGAACCCAATGTATGTTATAGTCATCCTTAATACCAACACAGTCACAAAATATAAGTCCTAGAATAGTACAATGTCTGAGGTTCCCCCATGGCTGTGGAAGGGATTTCTCCTCTCCAGGCAGCTTCAGGTGATCTGACAGCTCACCGCCCCACTCTGCAAAGTGTGCATTGGAAGGCCATCTTGGTGGCAGATGATACTTGACTGGAATCCTGTTGGGAGAGGCCCATGGCAATTTGCACACCTCACTCCTGCTCTGGACAGAGGTCTTTGCTGGGCTTGCTGGGCACACAGCAGCTTGAAGGTCCTACTGGGATCCTTCCTGCAGCTGGGTGAGTCAGTATTCACAGAGCACAGGGTTCTCTGGCTCTCTGTTTTCTGTCTTTCTCAGCAATCTGTAGCTTTCTTTGGAGCCACTTTGATGTGGAACTGAAGGTATGATGTCTGGGTCAGCACAGAAAAACAGTCTTAGAATACAGGTCAGGATCCTCTTTGTCAAGCCCTGGCTATTTTTGCTGCTAGAGGCTGTAGCCACAAGTGTTGTTACAAAACAGGAAGATTCCTGCTGTCTAAGGGGGATCTTGTGCTTTGCTTGTGGAAGACTGTTGCTTTTGGGTTAACAAATCAGGACAAGTTCAAACTAACATTTATAAACAAACCCACAAAGCTCTCAACTTAGAGAAGAAGCCATCAAAGGATGGCTGTCATGGGAAAATACATGATCAAGGCTCTCTTGGCTTCTATCCTTCTTGGGCCCTGTAGTATAAATGTTATTCCTTTTGCTGTTGGTCTGTGGCTTATTAATGTTCTACCCAGATTAATTTCTTGCTCCAGGCCACAACGTTACAAATTATGCTACATCAGTTCCATCCTCTGCTGCCTGATTCTTCAATGCCCCTTAGCAACCTGGAGCAGGCATCCATATAATTTTACTCCATGTTCAATTAGAGTCTTTATGTACCTATGGTCTGCACCTCTACCATGCTTTTCCCAGATCAGAGAGTTACAAAAAAGACATTCACCCCACTAAAACCAGTATTGGTTTTGTTGTTCTCTCTCTCTCTCTCTCTCTCTCTCTCTCTCTCTCTCTCTCTCTGTGTGTGTGTGTGTGTGTGTGTGTGTGTGTGTGTGTGTGAAGGAGGCCCCTATTTTAAGGAAACATGGCAGAGAACAGAGAAAGGAATACTAAGGAACAGATGGAATATTTGGAGCAGATCATGCCCACTGGAGGGCTCAGTTGGAATAAGGGAGTAAAACCTAGTTTGCATAGATGTTCCCCCTTGCAGGAAATTCAAACCAATCAGTAAGTTGTACAAAAGGAGAGACAGCCAATCAAAAGTATCTTAACCTGAGGTATGAAACCTATTCTCCCTTCTATCCCAGTGAGTTATTGTCCTTTGTGTAGTTGCCTGCCCTCATCTCCCCTTTTAATGACCTCCTAATCTTTGTTTTCTCCTACTTGCTGCTTTAGAAATTCTTTCACCAACCCAAGGTTCCAAAATACTTTACAGTGAGGAGTTAGTGCTTTTCAGCAAATGGAGTATAAGCACCTTCTACAGAAGTATAAACACATAAACCAGCAGTATAGTCCTATATCATTGTCATGCACTGTACATAATTGTGTGTGCTACCCTTTTACATGACTAGTGCACACTCTGTTTATGACAGCATCAAGGGAGTAATGTGTTTGTACTACACCATTAGTATGACTGCCACATCCCTAGGCAATAGGAAATTCTTGGCTCAGTTACAATGTTCAGGTCCACTATGGTGGAAGTACTCTGTGTTGGCAGACACACTGCTGCGAGGCCTATGACCATGCATTCACAATGTGCAACCATCACCACTGCAGGTCTCCACAACTCTTTTTTTAAAAAGTTTTTTCTTCACTGGTTGTAACCACATGCAGGGCTTATGCATGCTAGGCCAGAACTCCACCACTGAGCTAGGCTCATAGCCAAAGAAAATTGAAACTGTATCCATTAAACAGGAAGTCTCTATTTTCCTACCTCTCTGGCAACCACACATCCTATTTCAATTGGTAATGCAGATGGAACCCAAGGCCTGCTACATCCTCAGCCCCACCTTTAGGATTCTCACTGTCCTAAGTATCTTATCTAACTGGATTTTCCTCCACAGTTGCACATTGGTGGCAGGGAAGGTGTGTCCAGGGTCCCCACCTATGACTCAAACTCCAAAGTCCCCAATCAATGGTAGACAGGCTCCCTGCTCTGCCCAGACCTGTTGAGCACTAGCACATGGGCTCCTTTGGAGGCACCACTCAGCTCATTATGCTATCTTGGATGAGGGAATTTAGGATGTTGGATTCCTCCCCTTCCCGGGTGACTCTCACTGCTCTCCTCCACAGCCACAGGTCCTGTGCTGTTCACTGGGAGGTGAAGAGTACTGGCATCCTGACTGACAAGTGGAAAGGGATGCAAGCTGGAGCAGGTCCAGTCTATGTTGATGCCAGGAAGCAAAGGAAGGCGCTTGTGTCCAGACCGTCTGCACACAGCTCACAGGACTGGAAATACTGAATTTCAGGAGCAGCACTTTGGGGAACAGAGTGGAGAGTTCTGTTTTAGGTGCCAATTTCAAACCTCAAGAGCACCTGAAAAAGTTTGTGCCTGGTCTATTCCTAGTCTTCCTCAAGTTTTGGTTCCAGGTGAGACATTCCTAGTGGAGGCATCCATGTCTCTTCTGTCTGACATGCCAGCAGTCACTATTTCTTTCTCTGCCGTTTCTCCTTTGTACTTATAAGTACTTTGCTTGCTAAATGACAATTTTATTGTCACCAACTGGAATGCAAGCTACCTGAAGGCAAGTGCTGTGTTTTGCTCACTGCTGCAGAACCTGGAACAGCACGAGCTCACAGAGGGATCACTGACTCAGGCACAGTAGACCCAGTGCTGAGGGTGTCTGAGAGTCTTGAGGCTCCCACATCAATATTTCCATTTTGGCTTCCCTTAACAATCATTATTCCACAATAATGATGCCATTCTAGGTGACAGTCAGCCTTACTACCAACATAGTCATAGAATACATGAATGCCAGAAAAAAAAACAAAAACAGTCTCTGAGGATTCTCCCAGGGATTTGGAAGGGATTTCTCCTCTCTGGGTAGCTTCAGGTGACCTTGCAGCTCACCACCCCACTCTGCAAAGGATGTGTTGGAAGGCCATATTAGTGGCAGATACTTGACTGGAATCCTGTGGGGAAAGGCCCATGACAATTTGCCACTACATGGAAGGATGGCTTGCACACCTCACTCCTGTGCTGGACAGAGGCCTTTGCTGGGATTGCTGGGCCTACAGTAGCTTGGAAGTCCTGCTTGGATCCTTCCTGCAGTTGGTTGAGTCTACACCCTGTCAAACCCCTGCACCATGGTTTCAGGATCCACAGGGCACAGGGTTTTCTGACTTTCCATTTTTACTTTGTTTTTCTCAGCTGTCAGTAGATTTGTTTGGAGCTACTGTGTTGTGGAACTGAGGCTGTGAATTTTGGCCCCACACACAGCAACACAGACTTAAAATAGCGTTCACAATCCTCCTTCTCACCCTCTTCCAGTCTGGGATATTGTCGCTGATAGAGGTTGCGACCCCATCATGGGGTTGCCCACCAGTAAAGGCATGTTCTTTGGAGGACATGCCCTCACAGAACATACCACTCTCCACATTCCTGGGGGGTGTGACAGCCTCAGGACCAGGCTGGGGGATTACGCCTGTGGTGGGGATCCTCCTTGGCAGGATGGAGATGGCAATGTTAGGCATGCTGGATCTTCTTCTGCCCCTGTGTCCTGCCTTCTCATCTTCAGAGGACAAGGTGAAGTTGGAAGAAGGGCAGGTGCACTGGCTCTCCTCCTTAGTGGAGGAGCGAAGGTGGAAGGGTCTGCGGGATGGGGTAGGCACAATCTCTGGGCACACTGGAGGCTTAATGCAGGCATTGAATCTAATCCTCTGGCACACCTGTTCTCTCAAGAGGAGGTAGGTGGCCATCGCCTCATCAAATTTTCTCTGTAGTAGAGACTGATATATATCACCTGGATAATAACCCAGGTCACACATGGCTGCCAGAATTGCAGGGTCCAGGCGTTTGGGCAGAGTCTCAACAGCAGGACTAGGTGACCCTTCCTCCCCTTGCCTTAGCCAAGGGTGCCCCACAATGTGGTCTAGAGAGGGCCTCTCACTAGGGTTTTTCGTGAGCATCTGAACTATGATATTTCTCAAGCCCATAGAAAGGTATCTGGGTATGTCATACCTTAATTTCAGGACTGCCCACCGCACCTGCAAAACAGTCTCCCCTGTAAAGGGCAAGGCTCCCGTCACCATATAGTAGAGGACAATACCTAGGCTCCAGACGTCCACCTTTCGGCCATCATAGGGTAGGCGCAGGAAGAGTTCAAGTGCCCAGTATCTAAAAGCACCACACCAATCTGTCAGGCTCTGCCCAAAGGAGTACCTGGTGCCAAGGCCAAAGTCAGTGACCTTCGCTTTGCCTTGGGCATCTAGCAGGATGTTGTCAGCTTTCAGGTCTCTGTGCACAATGCCTCCATCGTGACAGTATTTGACTGCACACACTAACTGCTTGAAAATGCCACGGGCCTCCTCCTCACACAGGCGTTGGGCCTCTATGATGTGCTGTTGGAGCTGCTGTCCGTTGACATGTTCCATGACCAGGTAGACATGGTCCACTGTTTCCATCACCTGAAACAGTCTGATGATGTTGGGGTGGTACAGTGTCTTCATTATCGATATTTCAGATGCAATGACAGGGTCTCTCCTTCCCTTCTGCTGCACTTTCACCGCCACCGGGGTCCCTGTGAGGCGGTGGTAGGCAAGCTTCACACAGCCAAAACAGCCTTCGCCTATGACCCTATACTGAGACTTAAAGATCTCTGCATGAGTGGAGCTGGCACTGAGAGGGTGCCGTGATGTCAGCTCCTGATCCCTGCTGGGACACAATGCTTGAGGCATTGTCACTGAATTTAAAACAAGAAACAAATTAAAAATCCAAAAAGAAAAAAAGAAATTAAATAATCAAGAATAAAAAAAAACAATGCTGAGTTAAAAAAAAAGTAACATAAAAAGAAACAAAGTAAAAAAACAATTTTAAAAAGTCAAAAAGTAAAGATGAAAAATATAAGCAAAAACAGAAAACAAAAATCAAAGACCGAAAACCAAAATCCAAAACACCATAAACCAAGTTTTGTGGTAGTCCAGTGCGTCACCAACCAAGAGCTTCCTGCGCTAAATGGACAAAAGTCCAGCCCAGGCCAACTCCTTATATACCTGCTGGATGGCAGTTGGAATTACTCACAATGGCCCCTCAGTGAGGTCAGAGGACAAATGGACCAATCACAGCTGGCACAAGCCACAGTGCTAGTCTCATTGGTCCATAGACCATTACAACTTTTAAAAAAAAAAGAAATAAAAACAAAAAGTAATGAACTTTAACAGTTTTTTGCTTGGATGGGTAATGGAGACTGAGAAATTGAAGCCAGTGGATTATTCAATGGCCTCTTCATTTGGAGTCTAAAAATCTGTGGTTACTTTTGGCTTTTAAAGACCTCACCCTATCTACACTCAGGGTATTCAATTCCTTTGTCTTTAAACCTGGAGTGATTGAGTCTAAAGGATGGTAGCGTCTCCCCTCAACATGCTAGTATAACAAAAACCTCTGCTCCTTCAGACACCATAGAGCATGGTATGATGTTATTAACGTGTAATGGGGAGAGGGAGTGAGAGAGAGACAAAGTAGCCTTAGAACTCAGAAGGCAGTGGGTTGGTATATTTAAAGTGATGAAGGACAAAACCATCAGCCAAGAATTATAGCCAAAGAAAGGAGTCAGAAATGGGGGCATATATGGGTGGGTCAGCTCCTTGATGCTGCCCTAACAAAATACTTTAGACAGGGTCATTTGTAGCCAACAGAATTATTTCTCACAGTAGTGCAGGTTGGCAAGTGCTTGATCAAGCCTCCAGGAGCTTCAGCGTCAGACAGCTTGTTTTTGCTTTCTCCCTCTAACTGCTACCTTGTTACTGTTTCCTCACAAGGTGGAAGGGCTAAAGACTTTCTTTGAAAGAAAACAATGTAGCAGACACACTTGCATACCCCATCCAGATTTAACAGATGAGATTTTACTTGTTTGCCACAGATTGTTTGTTGCTGCTGTTCTTCTTCTTGGGAGGTGCAGGGAGGTTTCCTGGAGGAAGTCTTAGTGTGTAGCCCCAGCTGACTTTGAACTTGCTCTTTTGTTATTTTATTATTGTTGTTTTGGGTGCTACTCAGAGCCTTAAGCTTGCTAGGCAGGTACTCTACCACTTGAGCCACTCCACCAGCCTGGACTTGATGCTTGATCTTCCTTCCTGAGCCTCGGAAGTGCTGGGATTACTGGATTACAGGTGCCCCAACTCCTCCGCCTTCTTCTTTTCACTTAACATTTTTGGGAGAAGGGGATAAACCACACACCTGCCTAAAGTGCTGGGTGCCTTCTTCCCTCCTGGATATCGTCATTTTTGGCTTTTGTTCTGTTTTGACTTTGCAATGCTGGGGATTTAACCCAGGGTGCTTCCCACATGCTAGGCAAGTGCTCCTCCACCAAGCCACATCCTCCTTGGATATAATTCTTAAGTCGTTCCTTCTTTCCCATGGGTTTATTGACCTTTCATCCAGAAAGCTTACTGAGTTCTTAGATTAGTGTACCTGCAGACATCCTTGAATTCCATACAGTCATGTGACCCTGCACATAAAAGTACAATTCCTCCTCCATTGTTTTTATTTGTTTTTCTCATCTTACAATGGTGTTCAAGGTAGAATGTTACCGGCGATAGGATGCAGAGTTCTCTCCTGTCTGATTTTAGTAGCAATGCCTCAAACACTTCAGTAAGGATACTGTTTGTTATAGGTATTTGATAGATACCCTTTATCAGGCTCAAGAAATTACTGAGTTGGTAAAGATTTTATGAGTGATATTAAAATTTACTCAAACGCTGGCTGGTACTTGTGGAAGCTGAGATCAGAGGGATTGCAGTTTGAGGACAGACAAGGCAAATAGTTTGCCAGACCCCCATTTCCAAAATAACCAGAGCAAAATGGACTGGAGGTGTGGCTCAAGTGGTAGAGCACTTGCTTTGCAAGTGCAAAACCCTAAGTTCAAACCCCAGTCCCTGAAAAAAAGTTATCAAATGCTTTATGTATTGGCATTATTGACATAGTATTTGCGTTTTCTTCTTTATTGTTAGTTTGATAACTTAGCAAGGGTTGGGTTTTATGATCGCAACACACTCTGGGTTAGCTGTTCTAATAACAGTGCCCCTCGTCCATGAATCCTTGTCCCTGTCCTCACCTGTTGTCACCACTCTCTCGTTGATCCAGTAAGTTGTTTTGGTCAATATCTGTTGTGATTTGGCCAATGAGACATTAACTAATGTGACACAAGCAGAGGCTTGAAAAGCATTTATGCACTGGGCTCTGTTCTGCTGCTTACTGGAAAACCTTGTGCCAATAGAAGGCTGAGGTGACCTGACACAGATGTGACTCAGCTGACAGCCATCTTCATTGCCAGACATGTGAAGGAGGCTGTGCCATCAGATGGCTGTCACTGCCCAAAGACTCAGGTGAGACCAGCAGAGCTGCCCAGGTCTGCCTGCCTGTGCTACCAACCACAGAATCACAAGCACAGATAGGTGCTGTTTTCAGACACTTTGTTTTGGAAAAAAGGCATCACAACACAAGGAATTTAAAAAGTGTGTGTAAAAACTATGAAGATTACTACAAGCAACTCTTCTCAAGTAAATGTGAAATTTCAAAACTGGGTAGTTTTCTAAAAACATGTAAATGTCCAATGTCTATTTGAGAAGTTACAAACTGATAGTTCTATATCTCCCGTATCAGTTATCTACTGCTGACTAACGTCACCATTCTCTTGTTTATGTCTCCTGCATACTTGGGGTCACAGGTGTACAGCACCATGTCCTGCTTGTTGATTGATATGGCATATCAATAACATTGTGCTTGGACTAGCCTCAAACCCAGATCCTCTGAATCTCTGTCTCCCATGTTGCTGGGATTATAGGCATGTATCAGCACACCTGACTTCTCTTCCTCAGTTTTCAGATGGATGCTCAGCTTATTAATTTTTAGCCTTCCCTTTTTTGAATATATTAAAATATTTTAATTTTTTCCTCAACAATATACATGTCTCTCTAGTTACTGCTGTAGCTGATTCCCATAAAATTTGTTACATATGTTCCAATGTCTTTCACTTCATTTTTGTGTGTGTGGTGCTAAAGGAGAAACCTAGGACTTCCTGCAAACTAGGTAAGTACTGTACCTTCCAGCCCTAATTTCCAAATATTTTATAGTTTTATTTTTCATATCAATTCTTTAGACACACTTCCAAATGTAATGGGGATATTTTGTCTATCTCTTTGAGTTGATACAAAATAAGAGAAATAGTATAAAAGCTATTCTTTGCTATTTGCTAAAACTAGCTTTATGACCTAATACAAGTGTCACCAAACTTTTTCTGTAAGGGTCGGGTAGTAAATGTTTTGCTCTTTGTATGGTCTGTTGCACCCATTCAATTCTGGTAGCTTGTTTTGAGTACAAATACAGACCACATATGACAACTGAGTGTGACTGTGTTTGTTTTGTTTTGTTTTAGCCTCACTCTAACCTGATCATGGAGTGAGTCTTATCCATTTACTTTGTGATTCTAACATGTTTATACCTGCTAAATTTGTGCATGTATTGGCACAGCTGCTTTTGCAAGATTTTAAATTTAAAACAGCTTAAACAAGATAGAAATTTTCTCCCTTCCACAAAAGTTCTAGTTGTGGTAATCTCTTCCCACAAGAGGGGCCAAGTTTCCTTTCTAATTGCTGTCATCCTCCATGCACAACTTGCAGTACAAGATAGATGAGCTAGAACCTTCTATTGCATCTAAATACCAAACAAATAGAAGAGGAAGGAGGAGCAAGAGAAGGGAATTTCCTCTCCCACTTCAGCCACTCTGCCAGTCCTTCTCAATTGGTTTTGAGATGGGGTCTTGTTCTATGTCTGGCCTAGACAAGCTCCCACCAGCCTCAGAGGCTTTCATTGTGGTCCAAAGGGGAAAATGGGTTGAGGTACAGCATGTGGTGGGGGATTGGCTGCCTAGAAAAACTTGATCCTGCCAACTGTGTAAAAAGGTCCTGGGTTTTCAGGCCCAGCTGAAACATTTGACAAGACGGACTTGCCAGCCAGACCTCTGGACCTGTCCCCAGGGCCTCCAAGATGAATGCCAGCTAGAGCACCCACCTCCCAGGAGAGGGAGGGTCCAGGATAAATTTGTTTTGAATCTTGTATCCAAAGGGTAGAATAACTCCTTTGGCTAAGTGGAGGCTGAGCAGATGATACACTGAGGCAATACTCAGTCAAGTTCCTGGACCTGAAAATTTGCTAGAAATGCAAATTTTCAGACCTCAACCCAGAACCTGAATCAAAAACTCCAAAGGTCTGGCCTAGCAATCTGTAGCTTAAAAAGGTCTTCAGGGGTGCACCTGATGGTGCATGCCTGCAATCCTAGCATTCTGGAGGCTGAGGCAGAAGGATCTAGAATTTCAGGCCAGCCTGGGCTAAACAATAAGACCCCAACTCAAAAACAGAAAGAAAAAAAAAGACTTGCAGTCACTGTTTGTAAGCTTTTAATTAACTTTATTGGAAAACCAAATTCATGAGTTAGCACAGATCAAATGATTGTTTACAAATGAGTCTTTTTTTTTACAGGAATAAAACAGTGAAAATTACAAATTGTAAAAAGAAGACAAACCTTGTCTCTAACATTTCAGAGAAGCAAGATTTCACACAGAACATTGAAGATCAATAGATATTTTAATTTGAGAACAAGAACTTAATGTTACAATTACTATACAATGCTTTACAAAATTAAAATTTCTATGTAAGGATTATATTGGTAAGAGGCATAAAAAAT